GCTGAGAAAGTGTGGAACTGTGCTTCAGCTCACTGTTTCTCAAAGTTACTGCAGAATTGCTATTTTAAACTTCTTTAATGAGCACTTTGGAGGCTATCAATAACAGCGTTGACATAGCTAAAATGAGCTCATTTGTGAATATTCAAGAATGTGAACCAAGTTACAGCTCTGCAGTGTTAAGAAGAGTTTACAGAAACAAGCATGCTAATTAGCATGGCACATATTGTTAGAAAAAAACATGAGGATACATTAAAACCTGGGTCTTCTTGTATTATTACATTTGTGTATTGGATGGAATTTCAAGAATTTGGAGTACATCTTGATCTAACTAAGAGGCTCAGAGAGACGACAGACATGTCTGTTTGGCAGAAAATATGCACAGATGGTCTGAAGAGGGTGATGTACAAGGAATAAAGAAGGCTGTCCCTCTCTCTGAGGGGCTGCTTTGTAGACACAGGCAAATAAAACTTATGCCTATCGAACAGCTGAGAAATAATACAGCTCTACCGTTGCTCTGAACAAATAAAAGAAAGTGATACGTAATAAATGGAGAAAAACAAAATCTGTTTTCCATCTCTTATGCTCCTTAAGATATTACCCTATGATTCATAGCAAACCCCTTGACTTTGATTGTTATTTACTAAATTCTCTCTCCACACATGCTGAATTGGACAGCTCTTCCATACTTGGTCTCAAGCTATGCGGAGGTAGACGGTTCCATGTGGGTTTTGAGCAAACTCAGACCACTGTAACCAGGTGGTGCCTTACAACCACTCCAACATGTAGACACAGAGCTTCTGTATGCTCAAGTCTGAGCACCCTCAAAGTGTAAGGGGACTGATGCTCACTGGACCACCGTCCAGCATTGAGCACAGAAAGCACGAAATCAAGACTTCCTCTTCTGGTGCAGCAGGCCAAAATGGCTGGGGTGCGCTGCTTAAGGCTGCCCAGAAAGGAACAAGTTGATTGTGATGGTGAGCAATGGGATTAAATCTTCCCCCTATTCACAATCCCTCTGGAGCTTCAGGGAAAGGTCCAGAATTAAAACGTAAACCAGGACTCCCACATCAGTCAGTCCAGAGAAAGTATGAGATCACTTGGGAAAACAAGGAAAGGAGAAGAAGCTAAGAGTCACGCACCCAAGGCCTGGAACATTTAGACACCCATCAAGAGAAGCCTTCTGGAAACGATTTTTTTTTTCCTTCTTCCATTTAACAAGGCACTCTTGAGTTTTTATCTATTTGTTTAGCTGCCCCTTTTCTCATTCTGCACAAGATTAAATCCTTTCCAGGATCCTATATAAAGCCTTATAGGATGGCACTAGTAGTTCTTGAAAGCTCAGTCTTGGGACTCTTCCTATTTTCATGTGTTGCTCCCTACAGGTGACATGAGTGGCTTTATTTTCCTTCTTTAAGATAATTACCCTTCACATTTTTCTCCACTACTAATGTCATCTATGAGCTTCACACTCCCATTTGCGCTCGCTTGTAATCTTGTCTTAATGTTCCAGAGAAACTCAGCAATTGCAAAGCCAAAGGCACGGAGAGCTGAGCTCCTTACCTGTTAGGCCAGGTGGCTGGCTGCTCTCTGTCTTGTCTCCAGCCACCCTGAGTTCGTCCTCCTTCCTACTCATCATGCGTACTCCTGGCTTCAGGCTTTAGAGGCACCAAGTTTCACCTCCTCCTGAAAGCCTTCCCTGACTTAGTTAATGAAGACAACTTTGCTTTACACTCATGGAACTTCTTATCCCACATGCCATTTACACACTTGTTCCTATTGTGAATTCCATGAGGCAAGTTGGCATATATCCTAGATAGAGGCCGTTTAAGAAAATAAAAGTTGGAAAAGGGTGGCAGGGGTAGGGCATGGTAGCCTAGTGATTAAAGCCCTTGGTGTGCAAGCACTAGGATCCCATAGGGGCTCGGGTTTGTGTCCTTGCTACTCCACTTCCTTTCCAGCTCCCTGCCTGTGGCCTGGGAAAGCACTAGGAGATAGTTAAATCCTTGGGACCCTGCACCCATGTGGGAGACCTGGAAGAAGTTCCTGGATCCTGGTTCCTGTCTTCAGGTCAGCTCAGCTCCAGCCATTGCAGCCATTTGGGAAACAAACAGGCAGTGGGAAGATCTTTCTCCTTCCCTCCTTCTCTCTGTAAATCTACCTTTCCAGTAAAAATAATAAGTACATCTTTTAAAAAGTTAAAAAAAAAGATGATTACGTTATGAACTATGGTAAACACAGACTTTTCCTAACAAGCATGTAAAGCCTTCCAGAGACGCATTAAGGAGAAACAGAAATGGAAATTCAAATGTATGGATCACCTACTGTCTGCCAGGAGCTGAATGAGTTGTATAGCACTTTAATATGTGTTATGCCATGCAGTCCTCATGGTTAGATATACATTAATTCATTTCAATAGGGAAATTAGACTCATGAGAGTTAACTGGTTTCTCAAGAAAATATCTAGTAAGCATTAGATTAGAGCTGGCACTTGAATCTGGGATTGTTAGAATTCCAAGACTATTGTCTTCAGAGGAGCAGTAAAGAGAAGCAAGGTTGGAAATATGATAACCATCCTGATGGTAATTGGAACCTCAGGATTTTCCAACGAAATGGCAACCCATAGCACTGCAATTTTATTGCACAGGGAGTATTTGTAAACTAAATGCAAGCTACCCAACAACTGGCAAGTTAGTCTTTACTAAATGATTTTTTATGATGCTCTATTAATTAATAAAAGTTGAGTTGGTTTGCATAACCAAGATATTTATACGAGCTATCTTTAATCATGAGAATATGATTAGAAAGAATCCCAGAAAAAAAAAAGTCTAGCTTTCTTACAGTTAGATGGAAATTGCATTTTGTAATGAGTAGCAATTTCCAATTAGGAAATACTATATAACCCTTGTGAGAATACAGACATCTTAAAAATATTCAGCAGTATTGTTCGTCTATAGAGCATTTTATTTTTCAAAAAGAATACCAAGGGATAATGTAGCAGTAACCACTATCCATTATTATTTTCCTATTAATAATAATTACCAATACTAAATACAACTCAGTAACAGTCCTGGTCTATCCCATTTATTCCAGAAATAAGTACTTTGACTCTTCTGTTGAAATCCACTCCCCTTTTCTTTGTTTTTCCAATAAAGAAGTTCTGCTTAACAACTAAATTACAAATTCTTATACAGAATCCTAAATTTTTCAGGGTTTTTTTTTTGCAGAAAGCCACAGCAACTTCTCAGTATTTGAAAATTATTAAGGGTAACTTTAACAGAAGCTAAAAGTATCCATTTCTGTAGATGCTTTAATTGTAATACTTCAATCATTTTAGAGTTCTCTAAATCCACTCCAAAGTTCCTGAATTTTCCTTTAGTTAAAAAATATACCTAGTATATGGTATTCTAAACGTTGGCAAGCTCTGCAGACTGAGAAAGGATAATAGCATAGCTCCCAATCGCAGTCCATGATCTAGCTGACGACAGCTCCATCGTGTTCACTCATTCAGTTATTGGCAGCAGTGGGCAGTCTTTCACGGACAAAGATGAGGGAAACGGGTGCCCGATTCCACGAGGCACAGAACCACGGCCCCAGAGACGAGAGCCTCCTTCTTCGCATGGGTGAGAACCTGTTCTGTAACATTCTGATGAACTGATACAGGACTGATAAAGGCTTGGAGGAGCAGGATGCTCTGAGATGGTCCATCTCACTGCTGGGGAAGTCCTTGACTTACAGATTCTCTAGGTAGATAAGATGAGATAGGTCTATGTTGTTCTGTCAGGTGTTGGCCATGCTACCAGGAATGAGCCTGAAACAAGTTTGTGAATGTCCTTCTTCTGTCTGCAGATGGAGGGTGTGTTCCTTTGTTTGTTTTTAATTGAGCTACTTTTGGTACTCTCCAAGGATAGGAAAGGAAGCATTTATTTCTCTGTACATTTCTCTGATGCTTGAAGCTTAAAGAAGTTTAAAGAGATGGGTGTGGGAAAGAACAGGGACCAGCAAGGGTAAAAATCACCTGTTAGAATGTCATGTTCATCAACAGCTTCTGGCTGGATGAATAAAAATACCTGATTGTTCCAATAAATTTGGATGGAGAAAATGCAAGCTTTTAGATAACAGACATTTGAAAGATAGAAAAGTAGATAATTGATGATAGTTTCAAATATCTGCATTGGGAAGAATAAAGCTGCAGTTTCCAATAAAGCCAGCTGTCAAATCAATCTATAGAAGGAAAAATTTAAATTCTAGAATTGGATACTTGTATCTTCATGCAGATTAATCCTGGATTTCCTAAATTAATATTCTAAATAAATGCCCATTTCTAAAATTGCTAATATCTTAAAAGGCAAATGTTTGCTTTACATGTACAAATAAATTTCATCTTCTAACTCATTGAAAATGAAAAGGCTGAGGCCAATTCTAATATAATAGTATGTTGAATGAAGAAAAGGCAAAGAAGAAAGAAAAGCCCACGCTAGCGCAGGAAAATTTAGTCTGCACATACAGTCCAGGGTGAGATTGTATAGAAAATTCTTATGAGATTTTACAGCCAACTCGTATTGACAAAGTACTATCAGCAGGGACTGAAATAATGAAAGTGAGGATTCAACACTTCACTGGAACAGTGTGATGGCCTGTTCATTAACCTCATGATTTTGACTTAAAGGAAAACCTGGCAAGCGCATTTTGTGGTCAGGCTTAAAATTATAGTTTGAGACAAATGCAAGAAAAATTACTGCACAAAGGGTAAGATAAATATCTATAAAAAGGCAAATTCTCACGTTTTCCTCCAAGAAAAACCTCTAAGATTTTCTTTTTCTGCCGATGAAGTTTTTATACCTTTCCTCTCTCCTAGGTGGCAGTAGTCCTTACAAGAGAAAGAGCCACAGAACATTTCAGGATTCAAAGATCATTCATTGCAATGGAAAATTTAAAGAAACGTCAGAAAGAATACAGTGTCAGAATGAAGGAGCCACTTGGGAGAAAAAGCTGGTACTCACCGGTCCCACGTTATATGAGAAAAGGGCATACTCCTTATCTGGAGATATTTCATATCGGACGGCTCTTAATGATTCCTAAAAGAAAAAAGAAAATGGCTGTCAAGGATTCATTGTAACAGCTTGGCACTGTGTAGTGCACTGGAGCCTCCTGGTGCTGCTTTTAAAATTTGCTAGTGAGATTGGTACTCAACAAATCGTCTAACACCTATTACAAATGCTATAGAGTTTCAGTATTACTTGAATGATGGCTTGTGTTGTTTCTTATATGTTATCCATATTTGGATCTAACTTCCACTAAACAATGCTTACCAAAATAAATCAATAGAAATGAGCATTAAAACAATCTTTGCCCATAGAATTCTCAACCTCTTGACACATTTAAATATTATATATATATATATATTTAGATTTTTATTTGTTTATTTATAAGTTACAGAGATAGAGAGGTGAGGGCTTCCATCTGCCAGATCACATCCCTATTTGTGGCAACATCCAGACTTGAGCAGGTGGAAGGCGGGAAGCAGGTACTTCGTTCCAGTGTCTCACGGGGGTGGCAGGGGCACAGGTACCGGGGCCACCTTCTGCTGCTTTTCCCAGGACATTTTCAGAGAGCTGGAATTGGAAGCAAAGTATCTTGTACCTGAACCAGCACTCACACGGCAGGCTGGCATTGCAGGTGGCAGCTTAACATGCTACAACACAATGTTGGTCCCCTCACTTCCTTTTCTTTGCTTTATCTCATACTACAGGCATGGTAAGCAAGAATCATATTTTACATATTATCTTGCAGCTTGCTTCTTACCCTCTCATTCTGTCAGGATAATGCCACTTTTTATCCCTTTCCAATGAATTTCTTCATGGGACACAAGTCATTCTACATAAATGATGTTATTTTGTTTAACCTAACCCAACGTTTGTTACTGCAAAGGGCCACTTACAGACCCAAGGTCACTCTGAAGAGCCCTCCATTCTCACCCCAGCGACTCTGAACAAGTTCACACAGCACACTGAAATTACAGAGAGGGCAGTCAAGATGACATCATATTATCAAGCCCTGCACTTTAGTCTTTCATGCAACAATGTCTTTGGGGAATGATTCAAGGCAATGGAGTTTTCTCAAGTTAGTGATTGTTAAACTTTCCATGAGGCATGGCAAGTTAAGCCACTGACTGTGATGATGGCATCCCAGATGGGTTCAAGTTGTGCCAAATTCACTTTAGATCTAATTATCGGATAATGTGCCTCGGAAAGCAATAGAACATGGCACAAGTCCTCAGGCTCCTGCATTCACTTGGAAGACGTGGAGGAAACTCCGGGTTCCAATCTTGGGCCTGGCCCAGTCTTGGCCATTACAAACATTTAGAGAACGAACCAGTGGATAGAGAATCTCTCCTCTCTCTCTCTCTCTCTGTGTGTGTCCTTTCTGCAACTAAATTTTTAAAAAGCATTTATAGAAGCTGATGCAGCAGCCTAGCAGCTAAAGTCCTCACCTTACATGCGACAGGAACCCATATAGGTGCCAGTTCCTGTCCCCGTGACTCTGCTTCATTTCCTACCCAGCTTCCTGCTTGTGGCCTGGGAAAAAAATCAAGGGTGGCACAAGGCTTTGGGAACCTGCACCTGTATGGGAGACCCACAAGAGGCTCTGAGATCCTGGCTTCAGATCAATTCAGCTCTGGCCTTTGAGACCACTTGGGAATTGAATCACCGGATGGAAAATCTTCTTTGTCTCTTCTCCTCTGCATATCTGATTTTCCAATAAAAGCGAATAAATCTTTAAAAAAAGCATTTATAATTTCTACAGCCCACACCATAGGGTCTGCCTTAATGTGTTCACACAGTCCTTTCTGAAGGAAAACAGTCTATTCTTGTTATTAAAGGCAGTTACATTCTATAAGATCACCACCAATGCTGAATTGCTGAACACCAAACCATTGCTCCAAAGAGAAGCACAGGGTTAAGATCCTTTCAAGTTTCCCTGTTCAGATTTGTATCAACTGATGAGCACATAATCTTCCTTATGTTTCTGTGCAAAGAAACCATATTGGATCCATATTCTGAAAGTATTAACCCTGGACTCATGGTCCACACCGTTACAACTCATGCTTGAAAAAGGGTTATTTTACATATATATGTTTCTCTCTGCAAGGCAATTCAGACCCTTCTTGCACTTAGGAACACCAGACAGTATTGGCCCCCGCCTGAGGATCATTTAAAGCACTGATTTCTTCAACATAAACCACAACTGTGTGCCAGATGTGGCACTAAATAGAACACAAAAAGGCAGTTGTTTACAGTCCAAGTATTGAAAGCAGAAAATTGTTCTACCTCTGCTGGGAATGCAAGCATAGGACAATGCAATTATTTCCTTTTTTTCTGTGCTCTGGAATGACTGCAAATATAATGTATTACTATGAGGTTGCAACTGAATTGTATCACTCCAGTAAATTAGTAAATATGAAGCTGTGAATAAGGAAGATCAATTACAAGGTTCTCGGTCGATTGTTCCTATAAACAATACTATAGTAGAAATCCTCACCTACGGGTCCTACTGAAGTACGTGGGGTTTCAAAATCCTTCTATAAGACAGAGATCTAACATTGGGTGATTTACACACATTGAAAACATTTAAATAGCTATTGCCAAATGGCTTTTCAAACATGTTTTCAGAATTTGCACTCCCACCACTGATGGAATGTGTCCTTTCTTCCCCTCATCTAGAAATCACACATCTTCCCTTTCATTGTGACATGCTAATGGTTGAAAAGTGCTGCTCCGTCAATGGCATCGGTTCCTTTCCTTGCCTACGGCTGCATGCGATCCTCCTCAGCTATGCTTCAGGCAATGTGGATTCTGTGTTCAGAAGGCTGCCTCTTCCTCTGAAATATTCTGCATGCATTTCCTGGGCTTCAATTTTGCCCGCCTCTTCCTTCTTAACACTCCTATCCCTGTCATCCTCACCACACAATCAAAATGTCTCTTGCGGAGACTCCTGAGATCCACATTGTTCCATAGCATAATTTCTCCATTGTCATCCTGCACCTTTCCTTCCTCAAATTCCCACTTTTGCTTGGCCACAGGCACACACTCTCATTGTCCCTCAATCTGCCTCACTGTTGTGTCTTACACTTTGTGGTTCCTTTCACTTCCCTGACCGTGGAATCGTGAAGTGTCCACGAATGAACATTTGGATTTTTCTACTAATGAAAATCTCTTCCTAAGTGATGTGACCAGTCCCATCCATGTGCCTGCTGAGGATGCCTGCTGCTCTCCATCCCAGGTCAGCTGAAGCTAGATGAGGCTGACATCTCTGGGCATCCCATAATCGCAGAATAATCTTTTCTTTTTTTATTTCATTCCCTACCCTCCTTCTAAGTGAGAGTTTCTATACCCTGTTTGCATTTTTAAAAGAATTTATTTATTGATTAATGAAGAGAGAATATATTTATGGTAAAGGAAACCTTAATCCTACAACAGGAAAGTCAAAAACAAAAAAACTCTGGAAAACACTTGAGAGTTGTTAACCAGCATCTTGCTTCTCCTACCCTGTTCTCACCGCAACTGGGACTAGAGGGCTCAGAATAAGGGCTCTTCATTTCTGCTAATGAACAAAAACCAGCCACAGGGCTATTAAAAAATTAAAGATCAACAGCAGCAAGGCAGCACTCCTGAATAGGAAACTGGCTCATTGACCTGGATGGGGCCAGGACCCAGCCTGTTCTGAGTGGCTACAAGGCAGGCACGTACACTCAGGGAAGCCGGCTCAAGCCATTGGCAGAAACAACTTGATTCTTCCATTACAGGAAATGCTTCAACAGAGGAGTTTGCACAAGCTAAAACCTACACGGTCCCAGCTAAACAGCACTGAAAATAAACTTTGGCACAAATACCAGAGCCATCTGATGGCATCACAGCAGAGGCAGGGCTGTTAGACCTGAATGTTAACAACCTTGCTTCCAAGCTGATTTATCTCCCTAGCTGTAATCATTTTCTAAGATTATACGTATTGTTGTTATTTTTCTTACTTATTGCTGGCTCCCTTTAGGAGAATGTAAATGACTGTTCAATCTTTAATTTCTCTTAGCAACATTTTATCATTTTCAGCATACAGTTCTTGGGCATATTTAGTTAACCTTTTCCCTAAGTATTTAATCTCATTGATAATTTATACATGTAAAATGTAAGGTATATTTTAATGTCAATATGCAAGTGCTTAATGCTAATGCTAAAGAAACAGGAATCTGTGAATGTTTAACTTCTCAAATTTGAAACACTGGTAAACCATTTTGCAGATGCCTTAGGATTTCCTAATTGTGTGTTTAATGGATGAAAATTGTTTCTTTTTTTTCCTTTTCTCCACATCAAGACTCTTTTTATTGCCTTAACATATTTTAGAGGACTTTCAGTACAATAAGTAAAAATAGCAAAAGTAGGTATTCTTGAACTTTTCTTAATCTTTTGAACAAAGTATTTTTACTTTTCATTATTTACTATAATAGGGGTAGGTAGAATTTTTTGTAGATACTTTCACAAGGTTGAAGATTTTCCTTGCTTTCTAGTCTGTGGAAATTTGCAATAGCAAATGTGTGTCAGAATTTCTCAAATGTTTTCTACACTTATTTAAATGATTTTTTTCTTGTCTTATTCTGTCCATATGGCAAATTACATTGCTTCATTTTCAAGTATCAAACCAACCTTGGATTCCTGGGATCAACTTTATTCAATCCCAACTTATCAATTCTTTTGCATATTATTGGATTTGATTTACTAATACCTTGCTGAGAATTTTTGCTTTGTGTTTATGAAGGAAACTGATCTTTGGGCTTATTCTCTGGGATTATCTGATAGATTTTCATTTCAAGGTAATATTAACTTAAGATATGGATTTCAAGTATTTCTTCTTTTCTCTTGTATCTATACATTTTCTCTTCCTGTAGTAAAACACATGATACCTAGTACTCTATAAAGAATAGATATTTGGGACGAGTGCAGTAGCCTAGTGGTTAAAATCTTCACCTTGCACGCACCAAGATCACATTTGGGTGCCAGTTTGTGTCCTGGATGCTCCATTTCCT